GCGCCGGGCCGTGCGGGCGCAGAGGTGGGCAGTGGCGGCAGCAGAGCCATCGGGCAGTCCAGTTTCTGTGCTGTAGATCTGCCCCCCCTTTTTCTCTTGGTACTGAGGAACGAACTTCAGGACTTTGCTCTTTAAAGTAGTTTGCCTTGAACACATCAACTCAGGTTGAGCTGATAAAGTCAAATTTAAGGAGCTGCAGTACAAAGTTGAGGACCGAGCCTGACCGATAGTAACAGCCCCTGGACGTGTGTGTGTGTGTGTGTGTACGCCCATGTGTGCAGAGGCACATATCACACTGGAGCCTGTTTCGTAACTGCCTAACAGGCTGATTGCCCAGCACAATGCATAGAAGTGACATGTGTAAAGGAAGCCAGAGAAGAGGCCGGCCACCCGACATTACTACAGTAAGTCAGGCCTGAGCTAAAAAGCCATCAGTCTCACTGGCAGGTGACAAAGATTCCTTACTCAACCAAAACTTACTCAGTCTTTTCCTAGGACAATGTATGCCTTTCCTGTAAAACTTGCTGTCTGCTCAAGTTTCCCACCTCTGATATCTGATTGGGCGCCTCTTCCTACTGCCCCTCAATTGATATCAGGGTAAAGGAGCCATGACTGAGACCAGCAGAGCGGGCAACAATGAAGCAACAAGCAAGCCGGGTGCAGACTAGTCAAGGGTGACAAAGCTGTTGACCCCAGGGGCTTGGGCAAGGGGAACCTTTATAGGGACTTGGTAGGGGAGGGGTAGTGGGAAATTTTTGTTCTGGGGCAGAGGAAGTCTGGTGGTCTCCAGGCATATCTGAACCCGAAGGTGTTGCTGTGTGAGACGGACTGTTTATCTCAAACCCAGGCTTTGGCTTCCTGTTGTCTTTTGCACCTTGCAAGATGTGTAACTGCATTGCCTGAGAAGTTTTTTCTCTTCTGCCTGGGATGGGGTCTAACAGTGTCTTCATCCATAATCCTATTAGGAGAGTTTAGCCATAATCACTGTTCTTGATGTTCTCTCTCAGTAATTTTTCCATCCAGTGATAATCGTCGTTGTTTGGCTATAAATTTCCACTTGCTCTTGCTGTATTTGGAGTTGAGCCCAACCTCTCTCTACTTCAGAAATCTCATTCCCCCATTTACTACATTTTAAATTTTTTGCTGCAGGAGTTGGGCATGCTGGGGATCTAGCCCAGGCTTCCTGCATGCTGGGCAAACTCTCTACTACAGAGCTGCAATCCCCAGCCTTCCTTTACCTTTTTCTCTCTTCCTCTTCTCTTTTCTCCCCTCTCCTTCTTTGTGGTGATACTAGGCCTTGAACCCTTAGAGTACTGAGCTCCATCCCTAGCTCTTTTAATTGTAGTTTGAGGCAAAGTCTTATTAAGTTGCCCAGACGGCCTCAGTTTCTTGAGTCTTAGCTAGGATGACAGGCATCCACCATCATGCCTGGCTCTATACCTACAGTAATGGTCCCAAGTAAAGCTGCCTTGCTGTGCTTTAGTATCATTGAATAACTTTCCTTGAGCATAACCCAGAATTTTTAAGAATGATGCCTAATAGGGCCAGGAATTTAGCTCAGTGGTGCTGCCACCTGCCTCACAAGCCCAAGGTCCTGAGTTCAGTCCCTAGTACCAAAAGAAAAAAATGATGCCTGTTTGTTTGTTTGTTTTTAGTACCAGGAATGGAACTTGCGATGCAGGCAGCAGACCTGTTTGATTTTTCAATTGTTTTGTTTTGTTTCAGACAGGGTCTTGTCATGTAGTTTGGGCTGGTTTTGAACTCACTATGTAGTACTGGCTGGCCGGCCTCAAACTCACAGCAGTCCTCCTGCCTCAGCCTCCCAAGTGCTGGGATCATAGGTGTGTGCCATCACACCCAGCTGGCTTGTGTTTGAAGTACTTAATAGGCACACATTGCTAGCTGGTACCATATTAGACACACAGAATACTTTTGCCATCACTATGGAGAGTTCTACTAGACAACACTGCTCTAAAAAACACAACCTTGACTTACAAACTCAATCTATTCTCAAAGGTTGGTTGTAACTCAAGTTGGTTGTACATTAAGACTATTTTTCCCATAAGAAATAGTGGAAATATCTACACTGCATTCCAAACCACCAAAAGCACCCCTTAACTAACCTTTTCATAATAAGGGTTGTATGAGGTGTGTAATTTATCAGAAACACCAATAATTTTCCTGGTGTATTCACCAAAAAGTGATAATTTGTGCCTAGTTTACCAGAAACATCAATTTCATACTGTACTCTCCATTCAAGTTGACATTTTTGGCTTGCAAGAAGGGATGAAATGCAAGGTGGTTATTGTTTGGAAGGAGAGTTCCCTTCCTTAAGAACATTAGGGAACTGGCTCTCTGGTGTCCTTTCTCTCCTTGGAAGAGTCTGTAGCCCTAGGACCTGCTTCTGGATCACTAGGTCTCAATTTTTGAGATCTAAAAGCTGGTCTAAGGTCTGTTTCTGTCTTTTCTTTAGCACTGTTCTGTAGGATGACATGATATTGTTATTATGTAAGTGAATGCATCAATTGGCTTTTTCTGTCTGGGTGGATCTTCTCTACAAATGTTTGTAGCTCTGTAATTTTTTTCAGGATTTCCTTTATTTTAGAAGAAGAACTTTGCTGCATTTTTTTTTTTTTTTTTTTTTTTTTTTTTTTTGGTACCGGGGATTGAACTCAGGACCTTGTGCTTCAAGGCAGGCAGGCAGCGACAACACTGAGCCAAATTCATCGCCCTGCACTGACTGTTGATGCTCCCACTCCTCTTCAGAAAGCTCCCCAACTGCCATTCTGTGTTGCTCAGCCAGAAGCTGCTGAAGTTCCTCTGAGTGTTCCTCCAGCGGTTCCTCAACCTCACCACTGCCTACCTGCGAGCCTGTGGACTCTGCTATAGTGGCAGTGCCATCAAGCACAGGATCAGTCGAGGCTCAGGCTCCTCTACACAGCCTTCAAAGTCCTCTCCTATATATAATTTTAGGCCCCACTTTCTTCCAGGCACATCTCAGTGTCCTTACAGAGACATAGGCTCAGGGTTACTCAGTTAACTCAGTACAAGAAAGGATGTTGTAAGGTTCCTTCCAGAACCCTTTGAGGGTTAAATCTGTATCTGAGACCATCTGGAAGCACTTCAGGAGCAGTTCCTTGGGGTATAGCTTCCTAAAGTTAGCTATAATCTGCTGGTCCACAGGCTGCAGTAGAGGAGTTGTATTAGGTGGGAGAAACTTGACAGAGCCATGGGAGATCTTCAGCCAATTCTTTCAAATCTTGTAGGTGAGCAGGAGCATTGCCCATGATGAGGAGAGCCTTGAGCGGTAAACCTTTGTCCTAGATATTTTTTAACAGGACAGAAAGCCTCTCTGATCTACTCAAGAAAAAGTACTGTTGTTACCTGGGCTTTTGTGTTAGATCTCCACATGACTCCCTGGCCTATTCTTCATGACTTTATGTTTTCTGCACACTCTAGGGGGTGTGAATTCGAGGCCGGCTTGGACTACATAGTGAGTTCAAGGACAGCCTGAACTACTCAGTGAGATGCTGTCTCAAAAACAAAAACAAAAACAAAAAAAAAAGGGCCAGAGATTTAGCTCAATGGCACCATGCCTACTTTGAAAGCTCAAGGTCATGAGTTCAATTTTTGTTACCAAAAACAAAGCAAAACAAAAAAAACTGCACATCTGGGATCAAACTGACACTTATGAATGTTTACATGTGCTTTTCTGGCATTGTGAGTCTTTGTTTACAGTCACACAAGTGGCCAGCATTTGAGCTGTAACAATACTCTGGTTGTAAGTTAAAACTAAAATTCCAGTTGTAACCCAAGTTGTGAGGCTGGTGGTAACTCAAAGATCCACTGTATTTAGTGTTTGTTGTTGTTTGAGAGAGGGTCTAGATTTTCAGTGGTAGGCTTGAAATTGATGTTGCCCAGGCTTGTTCTAAATTTACGATTCTCCTTCCTTCGCCTCCTAAATTTTAGGAATGCAGGCCTTAAACCTCTGGAATGTTGGGATTACTGGTGAGCACCACCACACCCATCTCCCCACTTTGATAGGCTGATTTTAAAATTTATACAGAAAGGCAAAGGAACTAGTATAGCCAAAATAAGTTTGAAGAAATTTCTTTAAAAGTTTTAAGAACTTATACTATTGGATTTCAAGACTTGTTATAAAGCTCCATGGGCTGGGGATTTAGCTCAGTGGTTCCACGGCCTGCCTTGTAAGCACAAGGACCCGAGTTCAACCCCCCCCCCCCGACCAAATAAATAAAACTCCAGCCAGGCGTGGCGGCACACACCTGTCATCCCAGCATTTTGGAGGCTGAGGCTGGAAGATCACAAATTTGAGGACAGCTTGGGCTACATAGTGAGTTCAAGGGCATCCTGAACTACATAGTGAGATCCTGTATCAAAAATTAAACTGGGTGTGGTGGTGCATGTCTGGAAATCCCAGAACTCTGGAGACTGAGGCAGGGGGATGACATGATTTCAAGGCCAGCCTGGGCTATCTAGTGAGTCCAAGCCAGCCTGAACTACACAGTGAGACCTTATCTCGAACAAACAAAAACAAACCAAAATAAAACAAAAAAAACCCTGATTTTAAAATGGAGGGTTACTATTAGTGGACACATTTGAAAATCTTGTATAAGGCTCATAAAGTGAAGTGGAACAAAGCTTTTCAGACCTATCAACACCCAGGTAAGAAAGAAGATACTGATACACTCTGATGGTTAAATCACAAACTCAGGTACAGTGGTTCACACCTGTAATCCCACCTACTTGAAAGGCTGAAGCAGAAAGACTGAGCTCAAGGCCAGTTTAGGCAACAGGGTAAGACCTGGCATTAAAAAACAAAACCAAACAAACACACCAACTTTGAGGTCTATCAGCCCTAAGTCTGAATGTTGGTTTTATTATGGTACGAATTTGGGCAGTGTCAAATCTCTATGTAAACTGTCTGAACTTCATCCTTCATTCAGTGAACAGTTATGAAGTACTTCTGTGAAACCAGACTAGACAAGGGATAGAGACAGCACCCCTAGAGCTATGTTTAGGGAGGGGTACTACTTTACTGAGTGGTTGGATTGGATTTAAATAGAATTCCTCATCAGTAAAACCTTAGGTCACTACTGATCCCACATGACACTAAGATCCAAATTCCAAGTGCACACCTGTAATCCCAGCACTGTAGGAGGGCGAGGCAGAACTGCAAGTTCAAGCCCACCCTGGACAATTTAGGAAGACCCTGTCTCAAAAATAAAAAAGGCTGGAGATGCAGCTCAGTGTTAAGGTCCTAGATTCAATCCCCAGTCCATACATATATACTGTACACACATAATGCAAGAGTTGGAGACACTACCTTTAGTGTTAGCTTCAGTTTTTGGCACATAGTAAGCTCTAAATAAATAACAGATATGTACATGTAGGGAAGCCTTCTGGATTCTACAACCTCAATGTAGGTGTTGTTTTCCCACGTCTGATCATTTAAAAAATATTTAAAAGTTTTTATGACAGTAAATTATGTTGTAAGAGTACTTGAGTGTCTTGATATTTAACCCAGGGTTGCCTCAAACTGACAGCGATCCTCCTGTCTCAGCCTCCTGAGTGCTAGGATTGCATGCATGGGCCACCATGCCCAGCTTCATGTTGAAACTTTATTCAGAACAGGTGAGTTTGAACTGCACTTTGAAATCTAACTTCATATTTGGACTATAACCCAATATGAACTCATTAAAATTTGGTAAGCTCCACACCAATTTAGAAAAAGTTAGGAAAATAATGTAGTGTGCATTTATAGTGGGAACAGCAGGTGCCCAGCCTTATTACAGCCAGATGGAGGAGCCAGGTTCAGTGAGTGAGGCTCTGCACTAAGTCTGCAGGCACCTGTGGGCACATCCCTGCAGGCCTGAACCACGCTCGTGGTGCCACTGGACAGTCACATGTGCACGGCCCCGGCATGAATGTGTCGAGGACTAAAGAGACTGGTGCTGCATTCACACCCAACACCCACAGTATACCATCCATTAAAACCTTCCACAGCCGGGCGTGGTGGCACACGCCTGTAATCCCAGCACTCAAGAGGCTGAGGCAGGAGGATCACTGTGAGTTTGAGACCAGCCTGGGCTACATAGTGAGTTTCAGGGCAGTCTCAACTACATAGTGAGACCCTGTCTCAAAAAACAAACAAAACAAAACAAAACAAAACACCTTCCACAATTTACATGGCCCCAGACCTCTTCAGGCCCAAAAGGCCAGGAGTTTGAAATTCTGGCTTTATATACAACATAATTTATGATCAGATTTTTTTCTTTTCATGAACTGCTGCCAAATCATTTGAATCTTTTTGTTTTTTTGTGGGTTTTTTTTGGTACCAGAGATCAAACTTGGATCCTTGCACTTGTGAGGGAGGCATGGAATCTCATTTTAAAAGACCCTTTTAATGAAACATTTTACCAGAAGGATCAATCATAAATTTATCAGTTAGGTAAATGCTTCTGCATAATAGGCTCCTAAATAATGTCCTAAACATTTGTAGAATGAAAATTTTATCTTAGTTTATTATAAATGGTTCTGAGTGAATCAAAACAGAAAAACATCCTCCTTTAAAACAGGCTGTATACACCATGATTGTAAATTTGTCCCCACTTTAAAACTAGAACACTAATGTAATTAACAGAAGGGCTGTCGGAAAGCTTGTCATTCATACAGCAAGCACTGTATTTTATACTGTATGCAGCAAACTTTTATCAAATGTTCTTTAATTTCAGACAATATGAAATGTATTATATAAGAAGCACACAACAGTTCTGCAGTACAATTTCAAAGTGTATACAAATTAAGAGTACAGAGGTTAAACACTGGTATACTGACAGCATTTCAAACCTTAGGTAAACTGCATATAAAACATACAATTCAAATATTAGCTCATTTGAAAACTTTACTTCCCATATATAAAAGTGATACTTTGAGATGCAAAATCTGTTCTACTAAACAAACTATTTAAACATTTAAAATAATCATTAAAAACAACATTTTATAAAGATTAGCTATAAAAATATATTGGCAGTCACTTTTCTTATAAAGGTACCATTCACTACATTACAAAATAGTCTCTAACATAAAGTTGCCTTAATAATGGTACTATTTTAGAACCTGATAAACTTTATATTAAATTGATTATAAAGTCCTCTTGGAAAACCTTTGGTATGCAATCTTGAGGTTTTTAAAAATTTTAAGGGCCTGTAAACATTCATTCTATTAAAGCACAACAGAATAAGTAATGGGTATTTAGTTGCATATAGAATACAGAATCAAAACCAATTTATTATGTTTTTGTTTTTAAAAAAAATCCTTACCAGAGTAAGTTAAAACCAAACTAAAAGAATCAAACTTTTAAACAGTTCTTTTCATTCTGATAAAAAAATGTTATAAAACTACCACACTCCATTTGTGTGCCTTAGATTCCTTTTAGGACAAGACCTCAAAAATAGTTAATCCAGTCTCAAAATATCATCTCAAGTCCAACAGACTCTTACAAACCCATTTAAAAGATCTGACACTAAAATAAGTATACATAATCAGAACACATAATTTATATATTTTATAATGCACCAGGTTTTAATTTGTAATTTAGAACTTATTGGTAGAAATAAAACATCCACCCACACACACACACACACATATACACACAAACCCTCTGAGAAAAGGTAAATTTCAGGAAACAGAAATGCAAACCTACAGGGGAAACTGATTTATTTTTAAAACTTCTATTTACTGAATTTGGATTGATGACTTCTCTGCCATTTTTGGACTGATGACTAGTTAGAACATTCAAAATGCTCAAAGTTCATTTCTTGCTTCTTATGTTTAATTTTTACAAAGCTTCCAGTTGTGCCAGGAGCTTCCTTGACGTCACTTTCCACTGTATCCTCTGTCACCAAATCTCTTGGATAAGACATTTATCTTTGAGTTGCAAAAGCCTATAAGCTTTATTTTTGACCTTTTAACTTATAATACTCCACTACAGAAAAAAATCCATCTAACTTAAGAGAAGTCCACAAAAATATTATTTTTAAAGAATCAAACACTTTTATGAGAATAAAGATCCTTCAAAGTTTTTAACTCTTCTATTAGAGTTTTATTTTGATTTTCCAGGACTGCAACTCGATTTTCCAGGCATTTTACATATTCTTTCTTCTTTCTGCGACATTCTCGAGCAGCTTCTCTAAAAATAAACAGTGACAAGCCATGTTAGAAAAAACTTCACATTCTTTAGTACCTGTACTTTAGTAATGTTCTCCAGTCATGTACACATTTAGAAAAGGTGCCATCTACATTCATTGAAATATATAGATCTTACATAGAGAACAGTTTTGGCAAATGCGTATTATCTGAATAATCCACATCTGTGAAGACACAGAACT